CATCGGTCCCTAAGTGTCAACTTCTGAATTTTTACTTAGAAATGATTTTGGCGGGAAAGTTCCAGCCAATCGGAGACACTGCAGATGCTCAATGAGGTACGATGTTCATCTGTCCTTTCTACAACAATCCGAATTTTTTTTTGCATACTCTAACGAGGGTTCCCCTTAAAGTTAGAAAATATCACGACATATATAAGATCTGAGGATATTTAGAGATATTCATTGCTTTTCGAACAAGCCACGCGTGAGAGTTTTCTATGATATCAGTCTTAATAATTAACTATTTGCCTGGGTCTTAATTATCTTTCCAACAGATCAACCTTCAAGTGTGAAAATCCCAAACTTGTTTGAAAATTCTCGGAAAAAATATTTTGACGATCCCGGCTGAAATATATAGTAAGGCCTATTATTATTTTTTTCTTTTCGACCATCAACTACTCCTTAAAAATAGATAAAGAAAAGGATGAATAAAAAGATAATTAAACTGATAAGTAAATAAATGAAGTGTACAAAATAAAAGTGAAAACAAGAGAAGATAAAACGCGATTAATAAACAACTGTAAGAGGGAAGCCTTTTTCAACAGTTTTGACATAATCTGCGTTTCGACAACCGTTATTATGTCTTCGTTTCTGTGATCAGGAATATGTTTTAATAAAACAGTCGAGTCACATATCGATAAACGTCGAGTCACGGAGTCGCCTCGAACAAAACAAAAAAACATTTATGATGTAAATGTATTGTGTTTTTTTTTCTCGGAAATAAATCACGCGCATACCTAACTGCATCGATGAGCTGAAAATGAAAATCTCAAGCTTGGCATTGAATGCAAAAGCAATCTTAAGCCTTGTCACAATGTGGAGGATACAGCAATTAATTAGTTTGCAACATCCGTTGAGAAATAGGCTCAAATAAAACTAATTGTAAAGAAATGAATCAATTACTTAAAAGATTTGCAATCACGTTTCTGTTAATCACCAGAAATACGAGAATCTGGTTGTTATGATTTCGAAAATTCTTGGTTATTTGCAGTTCACTTGTTTTATCTTAGTGACCGGAGAAATACTATAACATTTTGATGAATATAACAGAAAAGTTACAATGTCGGCTGAGATTCATTTCGCCAGATGTTTTCGATGTTTTTGGCAGATGCTTGAGGCGTAGTCTACCTCAAAGTAAAACTATTTTTCTATCGCAAAAAATATGAACTGGCCAAGATACGAGACTGATTGCGCTGGAAGAGTCCTCTTTCTCCAGCCTTTAGATGTTGAAATTTTAAAAATTGATACAACACTTAGAACAACGTTCTATTCCAGTGAAAAACAGTTACGAAAGAAAATTAAAATTAGACGCTAAGATGACAGCTAAATTGAATTTCTTACCCGATACAGGGAAATAGCTGTGTTTGATTCGGACACAATGCTCTTCTGGGACTGTAATCCATCTTATTAATCGAGCAGAGAACTGAGATCAGTTTGCCGAAAGCATAAGATTTATCATTTTCCCTCACGATCGTTCATCAACATCAACGTAGTCTGTCGTCCAGCCTTTGAGATAGCCTATACGTTGTGTAAGTCCTCAAATCAATCCCACTTATTCTTGAACTTCTGGTAAATAATATCTATTTATAAGTATCCCCGTGAGGCGTGATAATTTACATATCACGACTCCCTTGATGATTCAATAGATTCTAAAAAGCCGAAATTGTGGCTTTTCCATCATAGATCGACAAACGATAAGCTCTCATGGACACTTAAAATGCTATAATGATTCACATGGGGTTTTACTAATTACCAATAGTTCTCAACTGGGTCACGCAAAATCGGCGTCTTGTAGCGAAAATGAATTTTAATCTTAGAGCGCTGTCTGAGTCTAAAATCTTAATAACATGCCAAACAATATGAATTCACCTTCGGCAATCGTCAGAATGATAAAATCAAGAATTCAAGCTGGGTTTTAAATAGTTATTTCTGTGTTCTATGAATCTTTAATATTTGCAGTCGATCTAAAGTACAGAAAACCATTTTGTGCATTTTAGTAATCATGGCTTATCTTCTGTTATAAAAGTTTGCTACTGTAAAAAAATTCTACAGATGGAGAGGTTAAAAAGCATTGCTTGAAAAAAATCTCTTAATTGTCCAGTAACCTCTAAATATTTCAAATTTTTTTTTGGCATACTTAAATATTCAAGTTTCTCATGGCAAAATGATTTTTCAGTGTTGTCGAGTGAAATAATCACATTGAACCAATCTGACAGACAAAGAACCAATTCTGAATACATTCTGTTCAGTTACTGTGATTTTTTGAACTAATCGTTATAAGGGAATATTTTAAATAAATCTTTAAGCTTAGAATATTGACGAGAACTCTAGGTTACCGAATCCTCTTTCATAAAGATGCATCATATATACAAAAACACATGAAAGCAGTACAAATTTGAATTAAAATTTATGACAAGTACATTTATCTCGGTATTTTTGTACGCATGTCCTCTTCTTTCAAACTGATATTTTTTTATGTAAATATGGTCTATGGTTGCAATTCGTAATGGAAAACCATACAGAAAAAAAATATGAAAAAGCTCGTCTTTCGAGAATGATCTCTCCTACGATCAAACTCAAGAGAATCTGTCACTTCCCTCTTCAGAAATCATGTAATCGCGGCAGGATTTGTAAATTTTCCATGATTTGTGAAACGAACTACATTTAGACGAAAGTAGACTGATAACGTACAAGAAATATGATTTGCGTAATGATATTTACTGATGTTATGTATATTTGCGACATAAACACATATGGTTATTTTCCAGCACAGTCTCGAAAATGGTTAAACACAGAGAAAAATGTTAAATGAGCTCCATACAAAACCATCCGAACATCAGGCTTATTTGGCATTGTTAATAGAGTTGATAATGTAAGTTAGCCGCCGTAGAGAGTTTCTATAACCGAAGTTTTCGAGCTTTAACCCTCCGTTAGAGCGAACGTCAATTGAATGCAAAGAGTGCGCAAAATGCAAACAAAGGTTGACGACACTATTATGCACCATTGTCCAATAATTGCGTATTTGAGGCGACAATGAAAAGATACGCTTTTCACTGGATTAGCCGGAAACATTTACTGCAGTTTGAGAACAGCGCTAAGATTATGGTAATTATCACTTTACTTTTGATAGTTTCAACGCCTCGAGGCAAAAATATTTTGGAAGAGAAAAAGATAAGTAGCAAATTAAGCTGGCAGGAATAAAGTGCACTATTCGAGTTTCCTATAAATGTCTTTTTAAAAAAAATCGATATTCGTCAGACTGACGTTATTTTTATCTGACGAGGGCTTGGACACTGCCCTACACAATGGTCGAACATCAATTTGTTTTCCGTAAATCGGCTTATTATTGATATAAAAAGCAAGGAAGAAAAAAAAATTGTTATCAGCACTTCAGGCGCAGCCACAACTTGAGGTTGTCATAAATTGTTTAAAATCCGCTTATCGTGGAAATGTCAATTTTATTTTCGCTGGAAAGTAATCGAATTATAAATTTTTTCACTCTAAAATATAGAAAATCTTACCGTACAACATGGAAATCGTGTTCATAAATAGATACTAGATATGTTTAGAATCTTTGATACTATCAATACAAAATTTCCTGAAAACGGATAATGTTTTTGTGTGAAAAAATCTGTTCTAAGATTTTCTCAAAGTTATGCAATGGTAGAAATATGAATTTTAAAATATGGTTTCGTTAGTCGAGAAAAACACAGATTTGAGCTTCTTGAAGTGGATCAACAGTATCAGCATTTTTTGACACCATTGTCCGATTTTAGACTCTGCGAACCAATTTTAGACAATAGTGTCCGATTTTGGACAGAAGTATTTGATTTTGGACCCAAGTATCCGATTTTAGGTACAATTGTTCGACTTTGGACACTAGCGTCCGGTTATAAACACTAGCGTCCAATTTCAAACTCTATTGTTCGATTTTAGACGATAGTGTCCGATTTGAATCTCCAGTGTCCAAATTTGGCTCTACTGTCCGTCAGATTAATATCAGCTAGAGTTTGATTTCGGACGTTGTTTTTATACTTTAGGTTCTCGTGTTTGAACTTCGACGATAGTGTCTGCTTTGAGACACTGGTGTCCCATTTTTAGGCACTATCTGATTTCGGACATTACTATTCTATATTTGGTGGAAGTGTCCGATTTTTGACACTAGTGTCTGATATTCGGACACTTCTGTCCGATTTGAAATACTACAACGAAATCTGATTTTGAACACTAATGGCGGTCATGTTTGGTTGGAGAAAAAAACAAAGCAATTTTAGTGGAAGCTAGAATATGAAGACTTCGTTTTACAGAAGTCATTCCTCTTTTTTAAATACCTTATTCTATATCTTCCCGTAGGAAGTTTACTATTTGGGAAATGGCGAGCCTCTCTCAGCGAACGTAAAAAACCCCCTCTTTCCTATTGTATGTTTTATTGATTGATGTGGGCTATATATATATATATATATTCACTGGGCATGTTATAGCAATTGAAGGCAAACATTTTCATGCAGTCACAAATGCAATCCTGTGTGCCCGTGGCCAAAAAATGATCACAGAGTAATAAAGACGATCAAAGCCAAGATGGAGGTGAATCTTACTGTAATTTGCCAACGATGGATTGAAACGATGGACAATACAAGATGGTTACTGAATTACTTTAACCATTTACCCCCTAACATCAATATTGATATTCTCCACACTGTTCTCTGTACATTTCCTAAGATGCTGACAAGGAGAATTTGTCCAACAATGGAGAGTTTCTTTCGGGTTGCCTTATAGTGTTAAGTGATCGTTTGTCATGAATCTTTTGGAGTTTGACTTAAAAAAGTCTGCCAAAATAAAGAATGCTCAAAATCTTAAAAGGAATTGTAATGGTAACTATTTGCAGGTGTCTAAGGAGAGAATCAATATTGTTTTGCTTCTCACTGAATTTCACGGTGTCGAAGGTGGGCAATAATATTGGGAAGGACGAGACTGTTGCCATTATCTAGATGAAGAAGATAATCATTACACACATAGTTGTACTGAAGAACGGGGAATGGAGAGGAAAAACCACAGCAACAAATCGATCAACAGCTGTCAAATTAAACAAAGCTCTTGATGGAAACAAAAGTGGAGACGAACCGCAATAGAAGAAGGACCATGCAGATGTTCTGTCCCCGTTGACCGAAGCCACCGGCGCGCATCACTGCAAGAAGTGATGGAAACAAAAATTGGGTACAACAGGTCGGACACCGACATGTTTACAATCAAACAATTGGTTGCCGTTCACTATGCCTTCGTCTCGAAGACAATCATTCCGATTAAGACATTCCCAGTCAGCGAAACGACTAGAATCCAACAGAAAGCTAAGATTTCTGCTGTGTGGTCTCTTCGGTTGGTGCAGTTTGATAGCGGAGTTCCATTCGTAGCTTCGTTGAGGATTTCACTGGCCATTCAGTCTGCATTCGTTTACTTAAGACAGCTTTGGTCTCCTAGCTTTTACTAAGTGATATACCTGACGTTAGCTCAAATTATTTGTTTCTTTAGAACAGCGGAGGTGTCTGTCAGGTTATATCAAAGAGGGATATCAGGAAGGGGTTGGAAGTTTGTAAAATGAAGGATATTGGGGAGTTAAGAAACGAATATGGCAACACCGAGGCCAACGTCTGTTAAAAGATGAACTAATGTTTTACCTACGAATCTCTCAATACTCTAAAGTCAATTAGTGTGTTTCTCACTGTCAAAACTATCTCGAAATTAAATATGGAACACAGCGTTAAAAAATTAGCCGTCGTCGTTCACGTTCTCTAGACAACGCAAAGTTTCGTCATGTTACGTTGTTGTTTTGCCGAGGACGCAAAGAAATTTACAAAGATCCATAACGCACGTACACAGCCATTGTTCTGCTTTGAAAACGTGTTGTTTAGTGACGTTCTCATTGCCGTTGCCTTAGTGGTTTTCTTAAACTCCCCCATTATTTTCTTAGAAACGACTGAATTATCTGCGTTAAACCTGTGCTGTATCTGAACATGACTTTTTTTTATTTTATAAATCTATTTTTTAAGTAGTGTCTGCCGATGACGACGAACAATGTTCTAAAATAAATTAATAATATGATAATAATAATAGTGATAATAATAATAATAATAATAATAATAATAACAATAATAATAATAATAATGACACATCAAACGAGCTAACTTCAGTCAAACTAAGAAGATTCAGCAGGCTGTTAGTTGCACCCAAAATTAAATTAAAATCGCTCCTGAGTGTTTATATATGTCGTAATTGGTTTTCATGATTTCTGACAGTAGCATGTAATTAAGTTTGATGTCAAATATTCCCAAACTTTCTGAACACTTAACTTGCCACCGTGCCGAATTCGGTTCTGTTGTTTCAGATGAATTTTGATTAGCACACTGCTTCTGATCAAAGTGCTTATGATCACCACATAAATCTGTTTCTTATTTGTTTACTTGTGTTGGATTTTGCGTCAAAATTAACATCAAAGTGTTTTAATTTATACCATGAAATCAAGAAATTAGACTATTGTGTGAGAAATCCT